AATTGAGGCGGCGCCACCTCAAAATTTGTTTAGGTGAAGTTCTTCTAGCTCCTTTGTTACTTTTAGTGGTACTTGTATTTTAGCACTGAATTTCATTAAGAGCTTAAAGCTCAACCCCAATTTCAATAACAACCAACATTATTTTAACTAGGATAGGATCATTACGGATTTGAATAATGCTGCAACTATCCACATAACCAATGACTTGTTGTTATCCTTTGAACCCGTGGATTACCTTTTAAGTAATGACAAGGTTCCATAATTGGTGGACCTTTTTTAGTTAAGGAGTTTCAACCCCATCCTACTCGAAATAGATGCTACTAAATCTCTATTCAGAGATTTAGTCAAAGGATCGGTCAAATTCTTAATTGACCTTACATAATTTAGGAAAATTATTCCATCATTGATTAATTTCCTTATGTAGTTATGTCTAAAACTCATATGTCTAGTCTTTCCATTGTATACCTCATTGTATGCTTTTGCTAATGTGGCTTGACATCACACATGTGGGTATTGAAGAAATATTCTTCGATTCCAAAGGTCTCTCATAGAAGAGATCCTTGAGCCACTCAACCTCTTTCCCGATATCCAATAAGGCTACAAATTCAGATTTCATGGTCGAGGGGGTTATGCATGTTTGTTTCTTTGACTTTCAATAAACAACACCTCCTCCTAAAATGAACACCTATCCCGAGGTAGATTTACTTTTACCCGTACTAGATATCCAACTAGGATTGGTAAATCCTTTCAATATTGTCGAAAATTTAGTATATTGTAGGCCTAAGCTCTTGGTTTTCTTTAAGTAGCCAATAACTCTCCCAATCCTAGTTGGATTGCTAGTAAATCTACTAAGTCTTTTAGGGTCGATTTTCACTTGTAGAGTAAACCTACTAAATTTACTTAGTGCATAGGCTATATCTGGTCTTGTGCATTGAACTGCATGCATAAGAACAGTAGCATACTCCAATTGAGCAATTGTCATTCCATCATTCGTTACAAGTTTTGAACTTGGATCAATCGAGATACTATACTCTTTTATGTTCAAGTGTATGAGCTTGTTTATCACATTCTCAATATAATGTGATTGACTTAGGTTAATAGCCCCACTAGTCTTTGTGACTTTGATACCTAAAATGGTATTCACCTGTCCAAGATCCTTCATCTTGAATGTGGAAATAGAAACTCCTTCATTTCTTTACACCAACCATGTGATTATTTATAATCAACATGTCGTCAACATACAA